GAATTGCTTGCCGAATTCAAAATTTTACACGCTCAACTTGCCAAACATGAGATTTCGAACCCCTTTGGAACTTAACAGTTTACGGACTCGACTTAACGATTTGTCATATGCGTATAGGGGCTCTTCCATCGACCACTCTGGTTTTCTTTTGCATAGAGAACATTTCGTAGTACTAAAATCTCTACGGTTTAACAACGACCAAAAAGTTCTGTACTGCCAAAAAAAATTGTTTATAACCCTATAATGTGATGTGTGATGTGATGGGAAGGATTGTGTGATGAAGATGAGTGAAAGAGCAAAGTGAACAAGACTTCATTTGGAGATGATTGCAAAAGGCACTGAAATATCATTAATAGAAACTGGTATCACGATACAAACAGGGATATCAATGAAAGCAGATTGTGTGATGAGAATGTATGAAAATGTCAAAATGAAGAAAACTTTGTTGGGAGGTGATTGCAATGTCGGAAAAATGTCAAGAAATGAATTGGTCTCAAGATGGAAACAGATAAAACAAGAAAGAAGATTGGAAGGATTGTGTGATGAAGATTTGAGAAAGTAGCAAGGAAAAAAGACTTTGATTGAAGATGATTGCAAAAAGCACAGATTGTCTTGTAGAGAATTGGTACGAGGATGCAAACAGAGAGAGCAAAGAATAGGAGGTTATCATGGTAAAAATTGCGCGACGTAGATAGATGGAGATGGCGAAAAGAAGAAGAATCCGTTTGAAGTAGATTGCAAAAGGCACAGAATCAATATTAAGAGGATTGGTGTAATGATGCGAACAGAAAGAGGAAAGGCTAGAAAGTTGTCGTGGTAAAAGATCTAGATCAAAACGAAGTTAGCTCTATCACAATGCAAATAGGAATACAAAAGAATAGAAAAGACTGGAGCAGGCAACTTCTTCATAATGAAGTGTTAAGAAGACGTTGTATTAATGGAATGTCAAAAGTGTTTGAGTTTTTGCAAAAGAGACAGGGGATAAAAGATTTCCACAAGATGTGACAAAGACAGAGGAAAGGGGGAAACCGTGCTTACCCTGCATTAAATGAGAGCAGAGCCTTAAAATAGTGCTGTTAAAGATGTTAGTCTGCAGCTTGATGTCTTGGTGTTTCATCTCCCTCTTTAAAGAAACTATATTAGAATTTCTTGTTGATTTATACAGATCTGAATCCTTATGGTATGTTTTAATGTGGTTATGATTATATTACTTTAAGTGTTACCAACGCAATAAATTTTGATGATCTTTGCTTGTATGATTAGTGTTTTCAAATATAGTGTAAGCCACCGTTGACTTTTAAACCCCAAAAACAGTTTAACTATTCTAGCATTAATAAGATTATAAAGGAGGGTCTTTTGGCTCTTATATGAAGTTTTAAGCTGTATTGTTAAATGATGTATTGTAATTATGTCAAAGAATATTTTATTGTTACAAGCCCTACTTTGTTTAGGTATCATTATAATTCTGGATACAAAAATATAAGGAAGCAATGTTATAAATACAATATTCCAATAATGTGCAGCTTTGGTTATCGATATGCTGGATTTCCTTTCTGTATTTTTGTGAACTTAGGTACATGCGAATCTTCTTTCAAAAAGGTAACCTGGGAAGTTGAATTTACTCATTAACCTTTAGCTTTACAGTTACCTTTTTTCAAACCCGTTTCAAAACTAAGCCTGTCATAACTGCAATTCCCTCAGTAGCCCTCACAATCATTAAATGTTGCCTCACTTTGAGTTACCAATCATACAACCCATATTTGAGTGTTGAGTATGAGAAATTGTTTTGGATCGTGAAACTGACCGATATCTTCCTCCATTAGTTCACTGAAGAATTCTTACAAAATCTAACGGATGATTACAGATGGATTTTCATAACAGAATAAACCCTGTTATAACATGTAATTATTACCGCACCTTCAATCTAAGATCTTCGTATAAAGTAACTTTAGAATGGTATCTTTTTAAAAATTTTCTAACGAGAGGTGTAATTGGTCGATGTTTGAACAGAGCAGAGATTGCCAAACAAAAAAACAGATTTAAGTAGGAATGTGTCGGCTGATGTCATGATTTGATTGTGGATGTACTTAATTACCACCAACTTTAAGATAGTATGAAAAGTAAGTTTTGTCACAATATGATATGTAATAATCTACAATTTTACGTATGTAAGAATCGTATCCCACTTCGCTCCAGTCATTGAAGAATAAGTCTTCATAGGAAAGCCAAGCACACTTTCTTGCTCCCCTAGGCCTTGTCATATACCATTTATTCACTAAAACAAGGGTCGCAGGGGGACGCAATGGTTCAAAATGGCGCTTCTTATTTTGTAATTTTCAAAATTTACTTCAAAGTTTCGACAATCTGCAGCAATGTGCAAGAGTTTGGAAGCAGAGCGATCTACTTTTTCTTTCAGTGGCGTCAGGGGCATCGAGACGGAGGGTTAGGAGGGGCAAAAGGTCAAGGGCCTGTGCTCCGATGGGGCCCGTAATAATGTAATAAGATCTATTCACAATGCAAAAAAGCTACTATTTCAGCTACATTTGTGGAATCAACGCCTATAAGTTTATCACAGAGAAAAACTATGTCCACATGTCCTTGATTCATGAAAATTGTTTTTGCACATTCTTTTAAAAAACCTTAAAAACTTTTACGACAATTGTAACTACAAAGGGCGTTTCCCTAGTTCTCCGGGAGACTCAAGGGCGTGAAGTTTTCTTAAAGGGGTCCAGTTTTGTGAATCACCCCTGGGCCCGAGCTGGCTCTCCACGGCCCTGAGTGGCATACCAATAGATCTTCAAATGAGGGGAGTGGAATGTGGCAAAATCAATTACCGACAGGTTTTGATAGAGGATTTTCAAATAGTGTATGTATTTCATTGTAAAATTTAACTCTATTTCTAAGTATCGTTTGTAGCGGCTTTATCATCAAACCGAACAACAATGATAATCAAGGACGTGACAATTTAGGAAGGCTGGGAATAGAGAGGGGGCTATAACATTGTTCTGGAGTTTAGTAAAGACCACGACTAAGGTTGGTTGCAAATAAGACGTTCTAGAGATGGCCGGAAATGCATCTTAATATATACAACATCGCTCTAGACCCAAGAAAAATCCTGGGCAATGTTCATAAGTTTTCATTGAAATTTGTCCCACAGCTTTATCTGGTTTGATCAGAGCAGCTGACCCTAGGAGAATTTGGAGTTAGAAGCTGGACAGCAACAATAGCAAACAACGTCAATAAAAGGTTCCATTAGGATCCGTTAGTGTAAACTTTCCAACTTTGTGCTAGAGTAAACTAGCTAAAAAATGTTTAACCTATAATTGCAAAAATTTTAGGGGGGCTTAAGTCCCTGCTGGCTGCGCGGTGCCTGAAATGATGCCTGATTTCTTTGCGGAAGTTTCATACCTATCCTTTTGAGGCAACCTCTTTTTAAAAAACGATAGCGTCCACGTTTCTATGGAGACAGAAGAAGCACAGAATGCAGGATCACGTTGCCTGGCCAGTGGCCACAATCAATTATTAACCTGAAAGTGGGCACGTTGTTTTGATTTTTTATTTAGCCGTGGCTGGGTGTTCACATGGTTTATCACGAAAACAAAGACGACCCTGCTCGATGCAGCTCAAGACCAGGAACAAGGCTAAGCAGTCATGACTGCACCGCATTAGTAAAAGCCAAGGATCGCCACGATGCAGCAACTCAAGTATCGCAAAAGATCAAAGTTTCCTCTGTTATGCGAAGACCAAAAGCCGAAGAGAGGATTCCTTCTGATATTCATGCCTTGCCAGACCAGCGATTTGTTGCAGATATTCATTCAAAGGATACATTGAGGCCGAAATCCGCAAACGTTGTGCTTCAATATGCCGATATCCCTATACAAATTACCGAACACCATTTGGGTCGGCCAACAAGAGCAACTGTTTTGAGAAATCTGCGAAGAAGCCAATCAGCCTCTTCAATTTGTTCAGATTTTTCTTGGATACAAGACAACAGGAGGCTTTGTAACATTCGTGATTATTACCGGCTTTTTAAGTTAGACAATGCTACTCATGGCCCCGCTAGCGAGGAATCAGAGCATGCCTACTTAACAGGCGCCAGGTTTAACAGTGCACATTGGCTAGATTCACATACACTAAAGCGCAGAGGTTTGTACATCAACAAAGGTAATCTTAAGAATGTCTTCCTTGTTCGTAAGTCTACACTGAGTCAATAGCGTCTAAAAAGGAAATGTTTGGCAGAAAAGAAGCGACAAAAAACAGTCAAAGATTACTGGAAGTGAGAGGTAAAGGGCTCATGAAAGACATCAGTGTAAACACAGAGCATCATTATCTCAGTATAGATAACTGGCATGGTGCTGACTGGCAGAGGAACTTACCAGAAATGTATCAACCAATAGAGGAAAAATACAACCCAAATACAAGTGTAGTAATAAGGGCAAAAAGAGTAAAATCAGAATACAGAGATCCTGTTCAAATGGCTGTGTTGAAAGCTAGAAGAAGTAAAAGTGCTAACTAAATATTTTGAGTAGTTTTAGTTTTGAATGGCAGATGGCAACAAACTTGGTTTAATGTTTTGCAGATAATAATTGTGGCAAATATCAGAACTACTATACAGGGTATTAGAACTACTATTTTGATTTCAACAGATGAATAGTAAGAGTATTATAATGCAACATTAAGTATTAGTGCAATAGGTTCTTCCAATAATGGTTGTAAGAATAAACTTGCAAAACAAGTAACCTTGTGCCAATTGCCTTTACAGGCTTCCATGTTGAACTATAATTTTTATCAAATTTGAGACAATGCATGGGTTTTAATATGTAAATCCATTGAACAGAAATCCTACTTTTAGTCCATTCTTTGAGCAAACAAGCCAATTCTAAACCCTGCATGTTAGTGATAAATATTTCATTGAGTAAAATGATGTCTTTGTATCTAAGCCATTCATTTTTATTCTAAGGCCAGGAAGGTGCGCAAAAGAATTTAAACCAACAAGAGGCTTTTATCTTCAATCAATCAATCTTCTATCAACAGAAACTATTAATAATAAATACAAGCTTATAAAATACTGAATTTACAGAAAATTGTTAAGAAAGGATTCTTCAAAGTGCAGCTTACACAGCCAAGAATAAGATCATTGCATCAGCTAATGTAATCACAAGTATCAAAAGATTCACAGACCACTTTGAACTTTTCAAAATAGGATTATGAAACACTCAAATTTGCGTGCATGTGTGTGTGTGTGTGTGTGTGTTTGCTTTATGGTGAAAATTTTCCATTCACTTTGGACTTTCACTTTGGCAATTATCTAAAAAAAGCCTAACCAAATAATACAAAGCGTCATTGAAAAAATGGCCTTTTCATTAGTTGTTACAGCCCATGTAGGGATGAGACAAGGTGCAAATGTCTGCTTCCCCTAGCCAATATAAGGAATGTTGACAACAACTCTCATTGAGACTTCTTAGAAAGAAAATAAACAGTTAGCTCAAGTGTTTTTACACAAGTTTTAAATTCAGATTGCTTTGTATATTTTCAATGAAAAATGGGTTTAAAAATTAGTAATGTTAATATTCTGATCACTGTATTATGAAGGGCTATTTATAATATATATCTATAGGCAATGTAATCTCAAAAGCCACTTATTATTGCGTCATAAACCTTCTAGCCTTGTCCTAAGAATGACTCCACTGACCTACATTTTCCCAGAGTCTTTTCATGTTACAAACATTGGAAGCGTTTTACTGCAAGGGAGAATTCAAATTGCAAAGAGGAATTGTTACTGCAAATTTGCAATTCAGGTTCTCCCTGTACAGTGCATATATTTTCAATAAGAAATTTTACATTAAAATAGATTCTAAGAAAGTCTACCACTGATCTATACCATCATACACATTTAAACCTTAGTTGTAGGTTTCTTGACATGTGCTTTTTGTGAAGGCTTCCCAGCAGACCCTCTACTTTTGCCAGTTTTTGTCTTTGAATTTCTTGCTGCACTCTGAAATGCATTAACAGTTGCTGATGCATGACCAAAGCTGCTGTATGCAAAGTTCACTTGGTCCTGTTTTTTATTAAATTCATAGTTTATTTCTCCACGAAGTCTTTCATACCTTTTGCTCCTAAGAATACAAAAAATAATTATATGCTGACTGAGGATAAGGGTTCTAGTACATGTACTTATCTGATAGCATTAATTTCATTTAATAAGTCACCAATCAAATTTTGAAATAAAATAAAATACAAGTTTTCTACAATATCTGCTAGTATACAATGCAAAAATGATAATCCAGTTGTATCATGACAAAAATCTGAGATTATGTTATAAACTTCTATAAATCGACAAAATGAGAAAAACTGATGTTTGGTCAGGTTGCAAGTTTCCTCCCACCTTAAATACATTTGATTAAAAAGGTCCTTACAGTTTTTTTTCAAATAACATGAACAAATGTTGCTCATCAGTTTCTGTGGAAATTTGGAAAAATAGCAGTTTTTCAGTAATCAACAAGTTTGACTATGGGCATTTGCTTTTAATCATCCTTTGCTCGTAACCACCCTTGACTGTTTGCTTTAAACAATGCTTATTTTTTTCCTGACTCTCCATTCCCATATGCCAAGGGCACTTCTAGTTTGAAGCCAGAAGGATAGGACTCCTGTTTTTTTTGACATACCAGGTGAACAGAGGTATTTTGGAAAAAAGTGTGCCTTGTGTTAGATGTGCCACCAGTGGAAAAACTGTCTTCCTGTTAGATGAATGCAGCTGAATTGTCAAATTACATTGAAATGTAAATTTTGGCTTGGTGATCATTTTACCGATCATACAGGAACACAACCCTTCTCCTCCCCCATTGCCAATAATATTTCCTATGAAAGTGTAGTTATTTGAGTTGAGAAACCAGACCAAAGCCAAGGAAAAGATAGAAAATCAATTTTGCCATGTATAAGCCACACCCTCAAAGAAAGCTAAGAATGGTTTGAAAAAGGTTGCATGCCCAATTGAAAAATAATGACTGCCCAATTGTATTGTAAATTTGTATTGACTAATTTATATGTGCAAAACTATGACTGATGATGAGTTCAAGGACTTTACATTAAACTTCTATCAAAACAAATTTAAGTATTCTAAGCCTTGCTTGCTTATAACTTCAACCCAGCATAAATTAAGGATTCACTTACCCTTGCAAACATGTTAAGAAGAAGTATAACAGCACAAGAATAATCATAGTCAAAGAAGTTAACATTGTTTTCCAGCTAAAACACAGGATAAGTGGAGTAAACATCAACCTGTAATGATAAACGATAATAACAAAAGGTCTCATCTGCAGGAAATATCACGATAAGGGGGATTAATTGTCCCAACACAATCATGTTCAAGGTTCCAAAGCATTTAAATTACTTCATTGCTTGTTTATGCACACATCAATATTATGTTATGTATTTTGTTACGGAATCATTAAATATAGCTGGATCATAGCTATAAATGTACTATAATTTCATAGGAAAGTGCACATAACACATCATGATGGACCATGCTGATGTCTTAGATGATGAAAGTAACAAAAGTTAACCTAAAAGTTTTCAAATCCTGGAGATTTTTGGCTCTTTCTTAAGAAAAAAAAAAGGTTTTGCCAAACACAGGGAGAGCACTAAAATTTGTGAGCATCTATAACTATAGCTGTAAACCATTGCTCTAGGAAAAAGTTTAAAATAAAAAATTTTCATGAGATAGCTCTTCTTCACAATATTCATTTTTTGAATCCATATTATGCACTTAATATTTGTTTAAAAATTATTCTTATCATAACCATACATCTGCATACTTCTAAAAAACACTCCCATCACGAAAGTATTTGGACAGTTTGGTAGTCAATTGCCATTTCCTTAATTTAAAGAGAATACCTTTCAAAATAAACCATGATCAGCTTAGCAATCTAATGATAGCTTTGCCACCATAGTGTTTAAACATTATTTCTAGATGAATAAACAATGATGAATGCCAAAGAAGCTTAAAGAAGAAAATTTAGGAAATAGAGACAAATGTTTTCATTAAACCTGCTTCAAAATTTTAAAAAACAAATTTTTTTTAACAACAAATTCACAACTTAATTCAAACTGTCTGGATGCTTTTTTGAGGGGAGAGCACAAGTGAGACATAAAACATGAATTTGAAACATAAGATCTTCTTTGGTGTCTTTGAAGCAAAAGAAAGAAAACATGATGCATAGAACTCTGTTGCATTATAGAACTGGATCACCCATCTAATTAATTCGTCACATATGATACATAATACAAACATGAACTGATTGACTAGTATAATTAAATATTGGTATGCTCAAATTCATGTGACATCAAGACCTTAGAATGCCTAAATGAAGACCTTGGGTATGTTTGACAAAAAATTGCTCAAATTCATGTGACATCAATCATAAAAAATGCCAATTTGGTGCAGGATGTTCTGAAAGTCCATCAAATCCAAATAAACTGGGATACTTCCAGAAAACAATGGTAATTAACTGTGTAAAATCAATTTTAGATGTCAGAAAACAAAGAGCTGCCAGAGATCTTTTAATTTTTGGTAAACCCTTCTGAAACAGGGAGGAAATATCAAATAACCAGGTGACCTTAAATAAGCAAGAAAGTCTTGAGCCTCCTAGCAAAACTGGAAGAGTTAAAGGTCTGCATGCATTTTATGTTAGTCAGAGGTTTTCAACACAGGAGAAACAGAGAAACAACATAGAGTACTTTAGAAACAATATAATTAATTAGGTATGATGTTCAGGATTGGTATCATGCAGCAAGAAACATAAATTTGTTAGGTATGCAAACAAAACAAAAGTTGAAATTGATAACATACCCTAGGTAGACCAGTCCTTTAACCCAAAATGGGAAATTTCGTTCCATTGCACCACATAACTTATTGCCTGGATGAATTACGAGAAGGCAACATGGACATTCTATGACCATTATGATGATACCAATGACACTAGAATGGAAAATGATTGAATGTGGTCACTTAGTTATTAAAAAGGTAGTATGCATATCCAAGTAGTCTGATCAGTATATATTATTCAATACTACAAGACATGACAAAACATTTATCAGCGACTGAACTGCAAAGCAAAGTGTCACACTGTTCTTTTGGATACCAAAACAAAGTAGAAATTCCTCATTCAGTAAGTTTTCAATTTGTATAAAAGTCTCTTACCTGCAGGTAGTCTCCTACCTGCTAATGGTAAATTATGCTGATTTATTATGCTTCACTAATTGAGAGACATGCTTCATTTCACTAACGCACAAAGTTTCAAATCATAGGACGTCGATGTGCAAAATGTGATAAATATAATTTTAAAGAAACATGAATACTTCCCATAGCATGGAAAAGTGAGACATGGCACACTAGTATATGATGCACTGTTTGTTGCATAGAATTGGCAAACAGGGGCCCTTTTAGACTTTCATACACCTGGCATTCTTAAACTTGCATGACAACTAATATGAATGAAGTCTGTCATGATAAAAACTAACAACTAGCTAAAACCAAGCACACAAAATGTTAAAAAAACAAAATCATACACATGGAAAAATAACATTTATTTATCATACATACACCATATAAATTCCTACTATCTTGCAATCTTTTGTAGTGGCATTGGCTACCAGACTTCCCCCGGATGATATATAAGCTGAAAAGATAAAACTCCATTATCATAACATTGTTATAAATTTGTATGTAGAGGCACATATCTGAAAAGGATTAGTTTTACAAAAAAGAACCAAAAATACTTAATTATGAAATTTGCTTCACATTGTAATACATGGAAAATGATCTAATATGGATACAAAAGTTCATTCAGACATAAACATCCATGCCTAACACAAGCAACAGTTTCTTTTATCTCAAGGCTGCTAAAAGTAGCTTTTTACTTCTTCAATTTTCTCGAAACAATCATAAATTTTCCAAAAAAATACATTGGAATTTTCTTAGCTATGAGAAATATACTAAAACTAATGCCATAAGGGTTCCAATCGATCTCTTTCTGAAAATAACATTAAGTTGACTTGAGTTTGGAAATGTTTTTGACTTCAGTATCTCTAAGTGAAATTTCAGGCCCAACATTTTTAACACTTGTAAGGAAGCACATAATATGGTGCTAGTAAAAGCTAGTTTTTAACATTCTAAGTTAAAATTAAGTTGTTGATGTGATGTTTCTGCTGATTTGGAGGGCATGGCCTTGAAATATTCTTGGCCTTTTGTTTTTAATTTTGTGAAGAAAGAAACAGATGTATTTTGCTGATAGGGCAATGTCTTCTCTCCTGCTTCTACAAAGCAATTTAGGCTGCTATGACTTCAGACAATCATAAAGCTGGGTTTAAGGACAGCTTTCTTTATTTTAAACTATTCCTCTAGTATATTATTTATTTATTGTTTGTCCATTTTTTAGATTGGGTGAAAATATAAACTCAATGTTTCAAAGGTAAAAAGCTTTTATGATCAGGATACACCTATCCCTTTTCTGAATAAATACAGAAATATTTGAGCTGCTGGTCTTTCAGGTGTTTGAATGAAATACTTTTACATCAGTAGCCCCATTTCATTTTTGACACTATAGTTTTTGCATTCTAATGAATGAAATTTTTCTCACAGGTTAATGTGCATGCTTCTAGTTTTTTTCCTGCCTATTTCTGGAGTATTTTCTGCTTGACTTTAAGCATATAGGAGTTTTTATACATTCTTATTTACGTACATACTTGGATTTTCGACTTAAGGTTCCTACTTTTAGCAGCTATGTAATTTAAAATTTTAGAAGTAAAAGAAAAGGAAAAATAATGTTCTTGAAGATGCAACAAAATTGTGCTCTCTTCTCTGGAATTATTAAAAGTAGTGATAACAATAAACATGAAGGTTTCTCTAGAGTAGAATTTCACAAAAATTGCTTTCTGGTCCTCTCATTGGTTCCAGATATAAAAATTGTTTGATTAGGAATAGTTTATCACTGAATAACAAGCAAAATATAGGGAAGCTCCCAGGGCCATCAACATAGGGAATGCTCACAATCTGCTTGTAGTCTTTGTCAGAAAATTACAACTTTTTTTGCGGTACAGAATTTGAAAATGGCTTTGAAAAAAGCAAACATTTTACGACATACTAAAAGCTTTTTCGTCTGACACTCCTCAGAGCAAAAACGTCAGAATAAGGTTCCGAAAGAACACAATGGAAAATATATACCCAGTTGTGGATGTTTGTGGACGTAAAATGTTTGCTTTTTTCAAAGCCATTTGCAACTTTTTTGTTGAAAACAATTACAGACTGTAAAGGTCCCAATTCCAAACATTTTTCTGGATTATTTTGAAGCACACCCCTGCAGAAACTCAACTATGTTTCATTGCTCAACCATGGCTAGCATGGCAACCATGGGTTATATCAGGCAGCAATGGTACTTGGATGCCCTTTGACTATGGTCTTAACTATGGTAGAGCAATGATCACAATTATCATCAATCTTTGAAACTTTTGACTGCTTATAAGGCTTTAATTTCAAAACTCTTAAGGCATTCTGTCATTGTTGTGCTGCTTCAGGATGATAAGAAATAGAATTATTCAACTTTCCTGTCTCATACTTGAAAACAATGGTACAAACATGGTTGACTATAGTTGAAAAACATAGTCTGGCCATAACACAACCATTGTTAAACATGGCTCTGATATGGTCTTTTCTCAAGGGAATGATCTCATCCAGATTAAGGGCCATAAGGAGGAACATATTTGTATTTTCTACTACTTAGTTTCTGTAGGTAGTTTTTTGAACACTGAGAAGCCTAGCTGCTTATCGTTAAGTGCCCTGGTCTTTTCTCTGTAATGTAAACATGTACTTTACAGAACTGTGCGGATTAATCTAAATTTGCAAAAATGTGCAGCTGGGATTTGAGGAAAATAACAACATCAGTTTTAGTGGCTGTTTAAGAACTGCATGGCCAGGGGCCAAAAACAGCTGCGGGGCACTTGTTCTTTACAATTTCCATAAAACCACCACTGCTCACTCTTAGTGGAAGTTTTGCCATATCAGAAACTCGAAGCAGACTTACAACCTCAACCACTGAGCCATTCTCACACCTAAATAGTATGGAATCAATACCTTTTGAAAATTTTCTAAAATCATAGTTAAGTCTAAGACCCACTGGTTAGAATTTTTGGAGCCCCCGCCATTAAAATAAACAGCCTTCAGGCACCGTGGAGCAGGGGGGCTGGGGGGCTTTAGCCCCCCACTTTTTGCAAAAAATGCCAAATATTAAGTATCAAACTACCAGAAAAGCCTCTTTTTATACGGTTTTAGCCCCCCCCCCACTTTTTTTAGACCCCCCACTTTTCTCAACGCCCCGCGGTGCCTGACCTTATTTGTGATATCACTATGCCTCAGACACATGCACTTGCTCTCAGAGCAGCGTTACCCATAGGTGTATCAACACAATAAACTATCAGGTGTATAGTTTATGGTCAAACAGACGTACAATCGTTTTAAAGAGCATGGGCATAACAGTCTTTTTAATGATAATAATTCGTCACCACTTACAGATCGCAACAACCATTCCCCATATCCTGGCAATCATACGGGGGAAACTCATACGATCTTCATCACGAAATAACTGCTTGCCCTCCAATTTCACATTGTCTCTCTTTTTTGATTGGGACATAGTCACGTTTTACTGATTTCCAACATTAGGAATAAAACTGTCTTCAGAAAATGTCAGTTAACATGTCAAAAAGCACAAGGTCACTGACGTGACGCATCGACTACCAAGCGACCAAGCGGACAACTTAATGACATGTTTTGTTTTCCGTTAGACGAACATAGACGGGGGCTCAATGGTTGATGAATGCTATTATCGGATACCCATTCCTCTATCAACCCCTAACTTGAGTGAAAATAAAACTATATGTGCACTTTTCAAATTCAATTAGGATCATTTTTGATAGTTTTTCTACAAATATAGGTTTATTCCTGTGTAATTTTAAGAGAGAGTGAGTTAACTGTGCAAGGTAAGAATACGTGCTTACCTCCAGATCACGGTCATTTTGGCTGTTGTTGTTGTCTTCATTCAATTCATGGAAAACTGATTAAAATGGCGGAAATGATGGAGAATGATAGCGTTGAAACTACAAGTGCGAAAGATTTTCTTTCAATCGAAGACGACATAAGCAATGGCATTCTTCAGCTCTTGAAGCCAGCTGTGGAAGAAGTTGATAACAGAGTACTCGATGTCAGGTAAGTGATAATCTTTCCGGTTGGCCTAACTTCTTGTTTGTGAAAAAGCCTAATAACGACTACACTCCCCAAAATAAAAAGTTTGGTCTAATAATTATTATCGCTCATTCCGCCCGCGCATTATTAAGAATCTTCCGTAAATTCCGCGCACAATATTTGTTTATCTGGTCATGGTCCCAGCGAATATTCCACCAATTAAACCTCTGACTTCTGATAATAAAGCCTTTGCTTTAAATTCCGCGCACGATTTCGCGGGAAACGTTCGTTATCCGCAAATTTCAAAATTATTATTCTGGCGTTCTCCGTGCAGAAAAAATACTTAATAGTCTGGTACACTCTCCTCAGCCTCACGAATGTATCCGGGCGTCTCGAAGATCGAATTGCGCTTTCCTAAAGTTTCAGACATAAAAAATTAGGCTGCTGCTGGCGATAACGTGTCGTCATTGAAAAACTTGTTTCATGAAAAACTTGTTTCATGAAAAACTTGAGAAACAAATAATTTCAAATAAGATAAACACAACGTGTTTACTCTTAGTTGGGAAAAATATTTGCATGGAGATGCCACCGATCGATTATAAAACATGCCTAACATTTGGTAACATTCTAGCAAATCAGGTAACAAAACTTTCGTGCAAAGCAGATATATCATTCAGTGCAGGGCCATAAAGCCAAACTATTTCTTTACCACTGCAAGTCTTTACCACTGAAATCAATCACTACAAAGGTACATTTACAATTCCCTGTGGTTTTCCTTGCAATACTTAGCGACAGCTATGGAAAGTTCAATTTTTTTTAATAATTAATGCAATAATTCATAATGAGGCAAACCAGTTTTGATGCAAACTGTTTAGGGCGGAATGTTCTGCCATTGGTGTCGGGAGAGCCCTTGCTTTTTTTTATCGTAACAAATTGTTTATGCTTCTTGTTTTTTAAAAATTTTTTGTAAGCAGTAGTCGTTTTGCATCCAATGATTTCCAGCATCGTGATGAAACGTTATTTCAAGACACTGTTCATAAGTCAGTTTTTTTGTTTTGGTTGCTACCATCATGGGGAAAAACCCTCACAATGTTTTGCTTTCATATCGACAGGGTGAATTTTTTCAACGAGTCAATAGATCAATGGCCGAAAAATTTTGAAGAAAAATTTGGGTAAATTGATGAAAACGTTTTCATGAAACAGCCTTTGTAAAAAAATATATCCAACAACAGATTTACAACAAAATTCGAAACTTTCTGGATGCTTTGTAAGAGGACTACGATTATGTTCTGACCTTCTTAATCAGGACTAATACGAGCATAGAATTAGATCAAAGGTCAACAGAATTTGAGTATTAATACCTGAACAGCCCCTGATTTTGTTTGTCAGCATCATAGATTATGGTTATCACTTACTAGGCACCAGACTGTAAGATTTAAAACTTAGTTTTGTTCTTGGAAAACAATCCACAAACCACCTAAACCTAATAGGAACGTACTCAAGGCCGTCACATTAAATGATTTTGCAAATCCCATTACAGATAGTGAACCTACCTTTAGATGCCTGATGCTACTTGATTCAATATACTTTAGTTCTTCTTACTTGAAAATATTAAATTTATATATGTTTGAAATTAATGAAGGAACAAACTACGATAATTTTAAACACAATTTTATGCAACCAAATGACACTGCCACCATAGGTTGCAAATCTTGATTTGTTACCAACCCTTCATATAATTTGGGAACCAGTCAGTCGTGTGTGCATACATTTTTATAAGAATACCTAATTTTTTGCTGAGCCACAGTATTCATATTTTTTTTATTTTGAGCTTAAGGTTATTTGTAAATCATTCTTAACCTTCATAAGACTGTAGTTTACAACAAAATGTTCTTGGAAGTTTTTCTTCCAGAAGTTGCCTAATTCTAACAAAAGCATTTTTTGGTTTTTTGTCATGTTTCTGTCCTTAAATTTTATTGCCGTTTTATTTTCTTACTGGTTTTACCCACCAGGTCGTGCTTTTCACTATATATTTTCATGTTGATCTCTTTATCTCCAGATATGACCATGTGTCCGTATGCCCATATTCCAATTTTTTGAGCCCAGGTGTTTTGCTTGAAAATACCCTTTGAAAGTGTTGTCTGGATTTTTTGGTCAAACCGGCTAAACGTGATTAATCAGTTTGCTCTCTTTAAATTTCATTGCTAAAAAGGCAGCCTTATTGCAGCCTAAAAAGCATTCCCCTTTTGCCCAGACTAATTTACTGAATGTGCAAATAATTTACCCGAAAATTTTTATTTTAAAGAAGGAATGGCAATGGTTCTTTCTAATGATTAGGTACTTGTTTTAAAATTCTATAACTAAGGGCAATCCAAGAATTAACACAATCTGAAAGTGAGTGTGATTTATAATTCCCAAAGATACACACAATGACAGTCTTTGTAATACAAAGCTAGGCCACATGCAGCCTTTGCACACTTGATTGCTTTTCGCCTGCGATGGTGTGCAACGCGAACAACTTTTTTATCCCCTTTTGTCATTCCTGTTACCAAGATATAAAGGGACTTTTTTAAAACTGTGCTATAAACTGAAGAGAAACCATGGAAATTAATGGAGAAACTGTTCCTAAAGATGCTAAATTTAATTTGTTTTTAAATTTCAAGGAAGTTATCATAGAATTGTTTTGCAATCATTTGAAAATATCTAGAGTGAATAGTTTGATTCTTTATAAACCCTACAGTCCTTTGAAATATTGTTGTGCGACATCACTGATTTAGGCTGCGTTTACACTATGCCTGATATTTCTGATACAGATGAGGCTAAATTTTAGCACCAAGCTTTGCTTTTCATAACAGTTCTCACTTTGCTTGATAGCACATTACAATCTATTGTTGATAAGAGAACTTCAAAGATCCAGCACATCAGCAGAATTCTTAAGAAAGCATCTGGGAAAAAAGTGTGTAAATTTTGGTCTGGCAGAGCAAGCACTTGCTAGGATAATTGATCAATGATATTGGAGTGCCAGAAGAATGGATTTAAAACTTGCAAATGTGCAAGGAGAGTTTCATCAACCTTTGTCTTCAACTGAAGCTGTTTGTTGAGAAAAATCTGGTGTATCCGTATTTGTGTAAATAAGAAGTCCATCTGCATTGTAAGTTGTACAGTACCAAGTTAATGTGATCAATCCTTATAGGTTTTTATCCGGTTCAACAGTTATCCAGCATTGTGTAAGCGCAGCCTTAACTATGATCACTAAGATGGTGGATATCATAGAGGATATTCATAAAGAGCCTCACTTTAAGAGAAATTTCCGTAGATCGGGGTTTTTTCCTAAACGAAAGACTATTCAGTACCTCTATCGACTGAAAATCCCTCAATTGTGTGGCAAACCTACATTTTTCCTTCGATTTGGAGAAAAACCCTCGATCCTCATATTTAGGAAGGGGTGCCTTGCTGTTTGATCAGGCTACTTTTCACCATAATTGCAACAGCTGTAGCAGGCTGCTGATAAATCTCATGTGGGGATACTTTGACACCTTGGATACCAATAGAACTGCCTTTAAATTTGGCAACTTTGCCTTCCTGCTGCTTTAGAAATCTTCAAAATATATTTTCAAACTTCAAGATTTTCCTTGCAAATTCCTCGTTTTGCACATGTGGAGGCATTCACATGTCTCATATTACAAAGACTGAATTCTGAAATTATGCACCCAGGAAAAGTAACATTTTTAAAAATAAAACAAGGCCAAATTAAAAACTTGTAGCAAAAGATTTTGTAAAAAATATATTTTGTTTTGCAAAAAAATGGGACACATGGCCCTCCGGCCCCCCTGTTTTTGGGTCCTGGATAGGAATGTTAATTGTATGCATGAAATGTATTATGCACCTGATTTTCCACACGTTACAATATCTTTTTGACAAAGACTAGAGAGTCTGGTTTAATTTTTCCATAAAGCAGCAGCTCTTGCTCTGTGTTGGTAAATTTCAGCTGTTTCAACAAACATTTGAGACAAGTAAGGTGGTGCGATAATATTGTTGACTTTGTAAAGAAAAAGATATATGTTATAATCAATTCGTGGGTGCAATGGTAGACACTCAAGTTAGGTGAATAATGGCTTGCTATGAGTTCTTCAGTCCAAACCAAAAATTATGCTCAAAGTTTGCTTCTGTAACTTCAGCAGAGTGTCCGTCTGTCTGCAGTAGAGGTTGTATAAAACTGGCAAGCAACAATCCACATGAACAAAGAATTTGGGTTCATGGGGAACATATTCTTGTGAAAAAAGTTTCTTCTTTTTTTCGGCCGGCACATTATTAACAATCTGCCTTAAAGTTAGGGCAAAATATTTGTTTATTATGTCATGTTTCCTGCAAGAAAAAGCAAGCTACACATTACATGCAAAATTTCTCACAAAATGCTTGTTTTAGGTAAATTTGAATTTTATTGTTCAGGTGTTCCCCCGGCAGAAAATATACTTTACAGTCTGGCAGGCTAGACCCAAAAAATTGATAATTTCTGCATTTTTAGAATTTTGCAAAAAGCTACAAACTAACTAGCCTGTGACAAGGCTATCGAAGGCCATTGGTTGGGGGAGGTGTAGCCCCTTCTATAAATGCCAAACTGTACTGGTGAACTTTCTAGTGGCTGTAGCCAAGTTGAAAAAATTTTCTTTTTGATAATATTCATGTAACACATATAATCAATTATATAAATTTCTGTCAAAAATTTCACATTTTTTAAAGGTTTGCTAGAGAAGGGTTTTGTAGAGAAAGCTTGGGCCCTGGGGTGAAACTTATTATAGAAACTTAGATGCTTTGCACAGATGCCATCTTTGTATTCAGGTAGATGGAATTTGAATATGCAAGTTTAAATCAATCTGACTCTCCATCTTACTTTTGTATTACCTCTTCCTTGCAGACAAAGTCAGCTGAGTTTAAGAGAAAAAATTGAAACCCTCACATCAGGTTTGCGTTTTCGTAAATAATTATTTTGACACCTTAATGCAAAATGGAAATATTTCTTTCCAATCTACGTTTCATTTCATAGCATGTTTGAAGTTGTAGATAAGCCGTCATTGCAGGCAAAATGGCCAACTAGAAAATTGGTTTGAGAACTGAATGACATGAACCCACTGTCGTAATTAATGTGATTGTTTTAAAACTACAATTCTTGACAGAAATAGTTGAGGTTTTAAATTTCAAAAATTAAAGTTTGTGTCAACAACTTTATTTGAATTTGTATGCTAATTGGTAGGGTCACACTTGTTCCCGGAAATTATATGAAGTGGTTGTTAAAGTTAAAAATGTCAGTTTTTCACAAGCAAGTTTTTCAAATTGAGAATTTTTAATTTAACAAGTATGTCAGTTTTGAACAAGTATTCTTGTCAAGTAAAAATTAGCAATTTTCCCAATTTGCCCCAATCTACAAGAGTAAAAAAACTTATCAAGAAAAAATTGTACCTGCGTTTTGGGCTTTATCATGTTTGTGATAAGGCACTGAAATGCATCAGCAAAACACCAAGGAAATTTAAAGATTCTACAGTGCCTCTCAAAAGCCTTTGGCATACATATTGTGTCAGGATATAAATGCTAAAATACACAATAGCAAGCAAGTATAAAATCACAGTGTCATCAATGTTTTCTTTAATTTGCTTATATGTAGTTTATTCTTAGAATTGTAGACTTTTTGCCACAGAGGCATTTTCATTTCTAATAGGAAAAACTTTGCAGAGCGTTATATTGTTACTTCAACTGTATTCTTACAAGTGGTATTTGTCTGAACAACGTCAAAAGTGCAAGGAAAATAAAAAATATTCTTATCCTCTTCTTTCTTTCAAGTTATTTATCTTCGGCTCTCATAATATCACGAGCCAAATGCCTTTGTAACATTTTTCTAGCAGATTTGGAAAGAACGTTTTAAAAATTTAGTTTGTATAGATCTGATTAAAAGATAGAACTGTTAAGGCCATTTAGTTTGTGAAAATTTTCATGGCCCTTTGCAAAAGAATAAGACTCAACTACGGAGAATTAAACCATTTTTGCATATGCATTGCGACTTTTATCTAAAAGACAAGCCAGATTCCTAGATGTTTGATGTCAGAAGCGACAAGATTTTGCATATTCATATCAAATCCCATTCAACTTTAACCGATCATGTGGCTTTTTGCAGATCTTCAGAAGCTTGTTGAACAGCAGAAACCTCCAATTGATCTTGAAATCTACGTCAAGAAGCTGCTAAATTGCCGGCGAAGGGTCATCGTTGTCAACAGTGTTTTGAATAACACCCACGTACGTGTCGTTTTCCGTAAAAATTTTCTTAAAGAAAAACTGTTAGTACAACAGGTCTTTGCTTAAAATTCAAGCATTAGCTAACAGTTTTTATTTCTTTTGAAAATATATTTATATCGTCTTCTTAGTAGGCACTTTTTTATTCATTATTTTTCAAGATATAAAAGTGATTTTTGAATTAAATCCTAGTGAGTGCTTTTCAGGGCAGTGTTTTTCGGGCTTTTATTATTTTTCGTATTCTGTCATACTATTGTTTGGCACGTTCAATCACATCAACACAGCCTATAATAGCAAAATCTAGTGCAGGCCATCCAGCAAGGAAAGAATTATTTGTTGTAACCCTCGCACAAGCCTCGATTCTGATTGATCTATACAAACAGGACCAACACCCCTCCCCCCACCCCACTTCTTGCGAAGCAAGTAGTTTTAAAGCTGCAGTAAAAGGGAAAAAGCCTTGGCTCCCTACTTTTGCTAGCCTTGCCCCCTCCCGCTTTCAAATTCGTGGTGTAGGCCCTGACAAAGCTAGGTCCGTCTTTAGATTATGTGTCCCAACTGATATTTGGAGATGCTGTATCTACTGAATGCGTAAAAGGAAGTTCAAGAATCCAGCTCAAGAAACCTGCTACTGGTGATATACGACGATGCCATTCTCTGGCCTAGAATCTTTTTACCCAATCAGAGCACTGTAGGCTGTTGTATCGAGTCAGCAGTTTAACAAATTAATTGGGTGCACTAAACCTCTTAGATTTTACTAAACAGACACTGTAAAGGTTTTCAAATATGCGAGATTTGTATTTGTTATTGAGTTTTCTGTATAGAATTCCTTAACTGGTTGTGTAGCCACTAGTTCTAATCCATGTCTTTGCTGCTTTACAAATGTGGGTCTAGATAATTGAACAATGATAAAGTAGGATTAGGCCCGGTTTTAGAATATTAACCCACGCACAAAGCGCTTTGGCGAAGCAAAAACTGTCCTGTATGAATGAAATTTAACTGATTTAAATTGAAATTCGAACAACTGAAATAAGAGGCTGAAAATGCTTCAGATATTATGGGGGTGTAAACGTGATTTTCGCTTTCCGTTATTTGAATTTAATCGATGACGTCATGAAAATGGTTTAGGTGTTTTCAATATTTATAAATCCTTTTTCCTTAAAAACAAATTTCACAAAAAGCTAGCGGCAAACTTAGATAAAGATGTCTTTCATACAGAAAAACATTTTTAAATGGGATGAAACAGCTGGAACATAGCACGTGTAACTAAATAATATTTTTTTCTGACAATCCATGAACAAATTTCCTTCTTCCTATACAAAAATAAAGATTTTTTGTCCTAACTTAGAAAGATTCCAACAATTTTGAAATGGTCGTCATTACTTGTTTTTGCACTCTAGTCTCTCAAAAATGGTCGCCAATGTCTGAATCTCATTCTAGATGCGAAAAGAGTTCTTAATCTTATTCTAGAGCTGTTGAACTCTTCTAAGGGGTTATCGGTCACTGATTGGTCAAAAACAAGGAACCAATCAAACGCATTGAGCATTGTTAATTTTTTATTAAGTAATCGAACTACATCGCGTATTTCCAGCTGTGTGACTTTGTATAACTTTTCAGGAAAGACTGAACAAGCTGCAGCAAAATATCATCAGGGAAACAAACAAGAAAAAGTCGGCATTGGATGCTTCTCTTTATCCTTCTTGAAGTTGGGAATGCTGCTCATTAAATGCTACATTTATTCATGTGACAACATTTCATGTAATTAAATTTACTTAAATTTCTGATATGGAAAACTGAAAATGTTGTTTTGATTCCTTCGGCACTTGTTATATTTTTCTCTATTTTATTTCCTTCCACATCTGTCTAAATCTAGTTGGCCCCAGGTTCTGTTTGAATTCCTTTCTCAAGTCATTGCCCAATAGCTTTTCAATATATTGAGGCTCAGATAAAGTTAATAATTTTTTGTTGGACATAATCTGCATATATTTTCCCCAAAGAATTTGATGATGATGATCATATATATATACATCCTTTCGTATACCCATTTTATCACTGATTGGTTGGTTAATTAATTTTTTTAGAGTTGCATTGGAAAAACGTTTTAAATGGCATAAATAATTAGATATCCATATATTTTTATGAGAATTGAAATTACTGGTCTGTCATGAAGTTTTTTTATGCCATAAAGGCAAAGCTGTACAGGACAGTTGCCTGATGCAACAGAATTCAGTGCTGATGATTACCTGTCTGAAACTAAATGTTGAAACTTAAAACCATCCTGTTCTATACACCAAAGCCTTCATATGTTTATTTATCAGTTAATATTGCCAATATTCAGCTAATTGTAAACATGTATTGTAAAATTGGTTGAAAGTTAAACATTCAGCAGTAAGACCCAAATACAGTTTTGATAAGTAATATCATGTAGTCAGTGATTTTATGATCTTGAAGAAATTCCTCTAAAGATCCATATTACCTTTTTTTCTCAAATATTGGTATCAATGTACGTTTGATTGTATTAAATGCTGTATGATAATCACAGATGTAGTCACTTTCAACCATTATGTTAAATCATCATATTGCGAGGAACTACACACCAACTTATGACAGATTCAATGGGTGTTTGAACGAGAAAATATTTTCCACAATATCTGTTCCTGCCAGTCTTCTTCTCACTTAAAGTTTTTAGGAATGGGATAAAAAACAACACTGAGCTTTGACAGATTTCCATTAGCTCAACCCCCCATCCTCATGTCACATGTTTATTCATACTACACCTGCTCCAGCCCTAGCACTCCTGGAAGTCACCTTGTTCATTGCAGTTATTTTACATAATTAACTCCCACAAGAAAAAAAAGAATCAGAGTTCCTCTTAATTTCATTCCTCTTGGTTTTATTGTATGTTCATGTATATTCATGCTTCCAGAAAAAAGCTTTGAAAATGGGCAAACTTGGGCAGTTGATTAAATATGTCAAATTCTTGGTTAATTCTTCTGGTGCTTCTGGTGTCTATTTTGAGACACATTTAGGCCTCTTTACCTTGTGTTATGTCTGTTTGCTTGTAATTTTTTTAATTGAAAGTGAAAACTGCAAGAACACAGTAACAATGTGTCTTATTTGCCTGTGGATTGTACAGTTCATTGCAAGTACTTGGTTTTTTAGTTTCAAACTTTTGGTAAATAAAAAGAGAAAGAAAAATTCAAGAAAAGCATGCAAATTAACAGCTATCTTTTTTGTTGATAATATGAAATGGAAATGTAGTTAAGAACAAAAGGTATAAGATACAAAGCCATCTGCAATCACAAATCCAAATTTTACAATGTTTTACATTGATACCATTACCTTATTTAAATTATTAACCAAATCTTTTTAAGGTACAAGTAAAGAACAACATTTTGTCCAAGTGGGAGTTAACACCAGTGGCAGCGAGTATAAGTAAGTGGAAACAAGTTTGGCTTTGAACTTTTGCAAAGAGCATTCAAAACTAAATTATAAATGAATCAACATTTTAAACAGTAAGTCAGAAAATCTCACGTTGCAAGATATAGTTGAACACTTAAAAGTTAAGAGAAAAGTACCATAAATATATATTTCTTGGTGATTGTTTAGTTCTAAAGGTTCTAGAGATCTGTGTATCAGAGAAAAGGACAGAATACACTACATTTTGCAAATATTTCTGTAAATTTCCAGAGATCACCTAAAACTCTGTTGATCCTTTGCCAATTCTCCTGCCATTTATGTTTTGAAAAATTTTGAAGCATTAAGGTGTTTTGTTATATTTACACCATGACAAATGTTTGAAGATGGACTGGTTATTCAAGAAACACCTACTGCTTTGTTCAAGTCTCAAAGGCTGCCAGAGAAATGAAAAATGAAACAGATCAAAAGTTTATATTAAAAAGTGATGTTTTATTTCCACTGCCTTTTTTAGAGTGACATAGAGTGGGGGTACAGTGGTAAAACAAGGATTCTTTGAATGGGAGTGCAAAGCATTATTGACCTTTCATTCTATGGTATTCTATGAGTTAAATCACAACATTGAAAATAAGAATTATGTGTAGAGGAATCATAACAATCTGTCTCTAAGTTTGCTGGGGGCTTGATAGAGAGGAGGGATTTACTTCATATTTTTGCTTCAAATTTCTGCTTTAAGAAAGAACTTTGACAGAGCTTTTACAGTAAAGTGTGAACACTTTCTTTTAGATTTTTTGCAAATGTAAACTAAAATGGATGATGTGAATTACACTTGAGATCTGGTTCAATCAGCTAAAACTATCAATTTAACCTGAATAAACTTCAACTAACCAGCCAAACGATGGACAAAGCCAGGCTATTGATCATTTCTTATAAATTCCTCCAATTTTTTAAAAAATAACAGCTAAAACTGTTTCAAATGTTTTGTTTTCTTGTTATTTTGTACCATTTGAAAAACTGTAAATCAAGCAAACTGAGTTTTTTATATTCATACCAGCCTGGTAATCCAAATGGTTTATCAAAAAAGAAACACTGTCTAACTTTTTAAAATAAAATGTAGCAGTGGTAAGGTAATTATAAATTGGGAATGTTAAAAACATAACCAAATAGACAAAACTATTCTTCATGAACTCAAACATATAAAGATAATTTTATGTTGATGAAATTATTACCTAATAAGAAAAATCTTCTCTACTAAAATTATCCAAACAGAAATAAGAACTTTACAAATTATGATACTTTCTTGAGTTTACTTTGTCTCTTGTTATATATAAACTTGTGACATTCTTATCCTCAAACAAGGTTAACCTTGTGCGATTTCACTCTTTCCTTATATAAACTGTTTGGTTTGGTTTTGGTTAGGTTTTGTATTGTTTGGTTGCAAAAATTATCCAAATAGTTGGAAAATCTAACTAGAATACTGGGACTGGCTTACAAAGCAACTTTTAGTAAAGATAAAAGAAAGGCTATATGGACATGAATCACTTTTCAAAAAGACGATTTCCACAACAATTTTTCAGACAGATGTGCTCTATTTAGGATTGATTGGAATGAGAACAAAAATTGATATTTAGAAACCAAAAAACAAAATTTTGTGCAAACTTAATGATAAGGGTCCTAAAAATGGGGGTTTGAATGTCATAGGTAATTTTTAAGGCAATTCTCATAATTTTTAAGGCAATTCAATAAGGATAATTAACATGATTCAGGCAACAAAAAATTATTTGGCATAATTTTAAGTCATCTTGCTGTAGCTAAATTAGACTGAGTTAATCTCTAATAGAATTTTACTGGATCAGTTAATCTATATGTTACAAAATAGAAAAATGTAGGTAAGCCAGTTAAAATCAACAACAAAGAATCTCTGAGAGGATTTTCAAATTGAGTTATCGATATAATCCCATATGCATTTGCCAGAGTGTATGTTGCCAATGTTGCCACAGATTCTGGATTTCTAAAGAACTCCTTCCATAATTCATCTGACTTGGAAAGGTAAACTGCATTGCCAACTGATGATGCAACCAGTATTAAGTATGGAAATGAGTAATAAACTACCCCTGAAAAAATTGCATGTGTTACCAACATAATTGGCAGTAAGTACATTGACGCATATGTTGACTTCCTTCCAGAAATGTCTTTCAAGAACCATAAGACTATTTGTCTTAAAGTCACTGATAAAAGCAAGCAAATTGCATAATAGAAAAAAACTATAGTGTACAATGGGTAGACAGCTTCTTGTGTACAGCGTATCTCATTTACGTAGTCTGGCTTTGGGTTGAAAAAAACCGTGTACCAGTCTCTTATAGATTCAACTTTACATGATTGTAGAGTTAAGGAGCCAACTGGTTCCACAACCAGAAGTGCAATTATTGCGGCAAAAAATGCTTCCATAGCTGTTGTCAAGTAAAGAAATCCAACTGACCGTCGCTTTGGTTCAAAAAAACTTATAAAATCTGAATTAAGAACTGGGATAAGCAACACCATAAAACCAAGATACAACCAGTCATATAATGTGAGACTTGATGCACATTTATGGCAGATAAATCCATCGGATCTGTAACCTCTAGGACACTTTCCACAATCTGTTAAGTTTCTAGGTGAGTTGGTATCTACAGTCCGTCCACAATATGCACCAGGGCATCTAACCAGCTTTGAAGAGGCACATGGCTCAATGTATATAAGTAGCAACATAAAAGCTGAAGTTCTATATCCTGCATTTCTCAGGGCTTTCTTCAGTACCATGGTCTCCTTTTCAAGGAAGATGTGTCTAGGGTTGCTTCTGGGGGGGGGGCTCCTTATTGTTTGGTTTAGTGGTGCTGTTAACTTCAGGGCAGTTAACTAGTAGAGAGGTGGCAATTAAACAGTGTCAGTGTTTCTCCATACCTCCTTCTTGTTGTTAGATTTTGATCTTGATGACAACTTCGACTACGGTCAATTCATCGTTCAGCAGTTAGAACATTTGGCTTTAGAAATCTTAGTCAAGCAAAGTGCGTGGAAAGTAAACAATACTGGCAAACAAACTGGCAAACAAGCCACAAATACCCAATGCTTTAACTGAGAAGCTTCTTCCTCTGATTGACAACGGCAGTTCTCAGGCCTAGGCCAGGTGTACGAACTAAAGTATTCCTTGATTCTCACACCTTTTATTGCATATTACAGCTTAAATTTAGGCTCCAATAATAACCAGATATTTGTGTTAAAGAGCTCCTTTAGTAGCGTAGGATGAAGTCAACAAGTGACTAAAAGACCAATGGCTAATTCCGGTTATTTTCTGTGGAGAATCTCGTTCCTTCACTGTCATTGGGGTGAATGATGCATCGCAGAGGTCCTTTATTTCTTTTCTGACATCACAAAGTCTCTTTTTACAGCTGGGAGGTTGAAATGGGGGATTTTAGCGGACGTTGGCTCTTACCCATGGGCTATGAAGGTATGTCTACATTTTACGTGAAGCCAGTGGTGCAGAAGCACCGTTTGCAAGGAGGTTGCCAAGCTAGGTGGGAGATTTGTTGTAATAAAATGTTTCCAGGAAGAAGCGTCAGCCAGAGACGCCTGCACAAGATTAGGGCAGGAAGGGCAGTGTTGGTGCCGAAGGCAAATCATTGAATTTTTCTATTAACATAATCGAGCATTCCTAGGTGGGAGGGGGGCGAGGGTGGGGTAATATAATAAAATATTAACTTGAATATTTGCCACCCATACAGCTGCGATTTTTACCAACAAAGATTCTAAACATAAAGAAAATGTTGACGAAATTATCCATAAATGAAAATGGTTATTAAATGGCTTTGTCACTCACTATTCACAATATTTGGTTTTATAAAAATCATAGCTGTTATAAATGGGCTGGTTGTAAAATTTTGATTGCCCGCTAAGTTTTTATACCGATTTATCCTCCTTAGGTTCCTGGAGTACTTCTGAGGGAACACATCTTTTGTTTATCATTTATTATCTTTGCCGCTCTCCCAATGTGGCCGACCTTGTCACAGACAAACTTTCATTCTCTACATTTTTGTGCTGGTGTTATCATCTTTCTAGTATTTTCTAATAGATATTAACATAACGAGAGTATTCAAAGTAGTCATCATATTTTAGGGCACTTCTTGCCCCCTCTGCCCTTCTTCGAAGAGGGGCAGCTGCCCCTCCAGCCCCCCCCCCCTTGTGTAGGCGCCCCTGGCGTCAACTCATCTAAATTTGATTTAAAGATTCAATATCACTGTTTTACTTAATAGAGATTCAGTCTCTTCCTAGCTGTTCCGTCTCTTACTTGATCATCTTCACTTGTCATACGCAGGGGCATCTAACCTGGAGGGGCTGCAGGAGCAGAGGGGGGCAAGCAATGCCCTTAAATATTCAGTCTAAAGAAAATATTATATAATCTTGTAGATAATTGAAGACTAGTTGAGCCACTCTCAATATGTTAATTTCAATTAGAAATTCAAAAAAAATAAAAAAGTTCCCTTTTTGCTGTCAGTCTTTAATAACGGAAAATTATTTTACAGAAGACGACAATAAACGTCAAAAACGAGCGGTATCTTATAAGATATTTACTATTTTGCCCATCATCAGAACAAGGATGTTACGCTTATTTTAAGCCTTAATATAAAAAACGTGCTGAAGTAAACAATTATTTTATTTACATTTGATTCTTGTGACTATTACGATTCTGCAACCATGGAGAATTGAGGCTAAGCGGACAATCAAAGTCTTACAGCCAGCCCACTTATAATTGCCATGATTTTCGTAAAACCAAACTTTTCTAATAATGACAAGGCCATTTAATACCCACTTGCATGGAGAATTTTGTCAAAATTTTGCCTTTGTTTAAAACCTTTGATTGAAAAAGAAACCCAGCGGTATAGATGGAACAAATCCATGCCAATATTTCATTTTGCAACTCTCCCCCCTCCCCCACCCTTCACAAACAATCGATTATGGTAGTGGAAAAAATTCTACTATTTGCCCTCTCACTAGCACTTTCCCTCCTACCTTGATCTTGTGCCTTTGGCCACACGTTGTTATGGGGGCCAGTTTATCAATTAAAATTAAGGAACAGTGTGTTTGAGACAGGGTATTTGGAAGCATAATCCATAATTCGGTCAAATATCTGCTCCCGTAAGCAATGCTCGTTAATCACAGTGCAGATCCTCTTACCCCCGCGTATATCTTGGCATGATTGTGCCATATTTTTAGCATCTTTCTGAGACAGGATAGATAATGCCTTTGGTATAGTTTTTCTGCTGAGGGTGCAGAAAGGTTATCCGCAAACCCCAGTCATTTTCCTGGTCAAGCGCCCCAAGAGGCTCCTGTCGACGAAAACTTTAGGATGGTGACCCCGCCCCCCCCCCTTAATGTGGAGTGCTTGAAGAAAGCAACGCGGGCTCTTGTTAAATCGCTTTTTCAAAATACAATGCCAAGAAGTAGAAAATACAATGCCAAGAAGTAACTTTTTGACAATTACAAGGGCACTCAGCCCCCCCCCTGAGCTCCCCCAGCTCTACACCTCTGAGGTGCACATCAAAGCAAACTGTAGTTACCTATTCCTTCCAGAGGGGGGCAGGGGGGCTACAGCTCCACCCCCTCCACCCACCTTTGGGAAACATTGGTGACACCACCCCCCCCTCCCCTCCCCAGGTATTCTGAATCTTTTCTTAACTCGGCAGACTAGGCATTTTCGGTATTAACTCGGCAAACTTGGCGGTTGCATCAATTAAAGAATCAATGATAGTCGATGGTATATTTGATTGTTTTATTTTCATTTCGATTTTTCCTCTTCACTCCTTGGCACGTCAATATTTTAACGTAAATGGCAAACCGAAGCCAGTGAGAACCATTCCCAAATTACAATGTTTCAGGGTTGGGTGCGCGAGAATAGCGTTTCGCCTCAGCCCCGTAGACAGCTAAACTGGGTTCGGGGGGGGGGGCATGGATAGAAACATAGCTTTTTCTATATCTGCCTTACGTCATACTGTCAGATCAAGCTGCGCTTATAAGATCTTCAAACTCCATTTTCGCAAATAATTGAGAGGGCATTGCCCCCCCTGCCCCCAGTGCCTACTGGCCTCATGGTAAAGGTAAAAAATATTGCTCCAATGAGACATTTTCCAGCGTAGTGGAATCATCAAAATTCGAAAAGTTCCTCACCTTTGTGGCAACCATGGTGCCGCCTCAGGTAGTAACTTTCGTGTACTGTTTATTGCGACACTAGCATCTGCAAGCTAGCAAATACCTAACCTACCTAAGTAAAATTGGTCCCTATTCTGTTTAATGATTAAATGATGTCCTTTTCCTTACCCAGAAAAATTTAGAGCCTTGGAAATATTGAAAAATCACGGGAAAAGATCTACAAAGAGCTTTCTTAATATGTCTGTTTTCTTTAAGGGACATTTTGTTAAAAAAGCGAGTCCCCACAAAAAATAATAATCCCGCTCTAAAGATCTGCTCTCTCTTGTTTGTTGAATTCATATCTTGTCGTAATCTCAATGTTTGTGCGTCCTTTACAACTGGGTTTCCATATTTTCACTCCGATTGCTGAGCCCCCCTGTCGGAAGTTCAAGCCCCTCCGTCGGAGAATTTCTAGCGCCACCACTGGATGGAATGCCATCTAAAATATTATAAAAACTACAATCCTGTACGCAGCTGTTGAAGCAAACGTCTAAACTCGTATCTCTGCAACAAAATGGAAGTACAAAAGCTCAGCATTAGCTTTTAAGGATTTAGGCTCACTTTAGTTAAGTTAAGAAAATCGCAGGGGCTGTTGAGAGCTTGTGAAGCGTCATATCCTAATGCTTTGTTCACTATGCCCTGATGCATCATCAAATATTGTTTAGTTTATGGAAACCACTTTCAACAGTATTGACGTGCCAGCTGCATTTTAAATTTTTCAAATTCTGCCCTTACAGAGGACATGTTTATGTAGATAGTGAAGCTGCAAAAGTCTTCGAGGTCATCTTCAGAAGCGGACAGTGGCAAAAATCGAAAAATTTAAATAGGTAAAGAAATTATGCTTTTCGAAATGCTTCTTCAGGCTCAAGATTGTTTGCATTCGTATACAACCAAACAGTTTAACTAGCAAAGGTAAAATACAGCTCGGTATATGAATCTACTATCAATTCGACTAGACGTACGCTGATGATCATTGTTTGATCCTAAAGAGCAATTCAAATGCAATTCAAATGCCAAGAAATCGAGCAAAAGAAAGTATAAAAAGCAAGGAGATCTTTCTGGGCAATGTACTACGTAAAGTACGCATGATTCCCAATAATTTTTCAGGCTATTTCAAGGAAAAGATTGTTTGAAAGGTTTGTCTCCTTCCTAGCACTACTATTGCATGAAGATCTTACTTAGTGATACAATGTCAATAAAATCTTTGAAAGATAGCCATTTTATGTGACATTTTGTTCAAAATTAGAACCTAACTGCCATTCGAAGTTTTTCTTTTCTTGTACAATGCTTTTTCTCTCCTTTTTGCTACATGGCCTTATCTTTTAACCAATTTTCATGCATAGAAAATGCGGCCAGAGCTATCTTATTTCAGCCTTGCTAATCATCCCTTGTGCCAATCTGCAATGACTTTAAGCTTCGATTTTTTTCAACCCCAACTCTCAAAATTGTGCGCGGTGAGGTTTTACACAAGAATAACACCCGAATTTATATTTCTTTTCCTCTTCTTCTTCAATTTCCACAAAACACACAAAACGTATTTTCCACAATAACAAACTGCAAAAACGAATCCTATTCCACTAATGATTCTTCTCTCCCTCATTCACAAAAAACCATTTTCCTTAACCGCTCTCTACCGCATTCCTTCCATCTCTCCTCCGCAACACTCTCACAAAATGTTGTTATTGATTCAGTCAATAAACTTCATGACTTTTTCATTTTCATTCAACTGTTTGCCAATATTCCGCAAGCCAGTCCCATTTCACGGTGATCTATTGTTATCTCGTTAGGACAGTATTCCATAAGTTTTAAGTCTTTTCGATATTTTGATGCCTGCTAAAAGTTGCAATACATAACTAGTGAACCTTAATAATGCTCAAAGGCTCAATCACAAATAAATTGAAGTTATTTTTATGTTATTTTCATTTTTGTTAGGATTATTTATATCATTTTAGTTTAGCGGTTTTATATATTATTGGCCAGCTTTTCCATTGCTATCAAATTTAGCTTAATTCAAATAACATACGGATTGATGCACTGAAATATAATTCCCGTTCTTCCCGTTCATTAGAATTACTATGAGGTTAGTGAAGTGACTCTTTTGTCCAAGCCTCGTTTATATTTATTATTATTAAAAACAAACATGGCTGCTCTCCACGTGGTTGAAAAACACTATGATGTTTATCAATTCCAGGTGAAAATGCACGTTTTTTTCTGTACATTATTTAAGATGCATTTCGAAATTTGTTATTTTTCTCGAAAGAAAAACGTGAACTATAGTAGGTTTGAATGCTTTACATTTTTGCGGAAATTCTGGGTTAGGAAGGAGATTTTTTAAACTGCTGTTTAGCCAGACTGCAGCAGAAAACAGCATTCACCTGACCGTTTCTCTAAAATATCCATGCTTACCGGGTATAGAATGTGGCAATTAAAATTTGTGGGCGTTACATTGGTGCTTCCTATTAAAAGCAAGAAATAACGTATTTCATCTGTTTAGGATCATAAATATTAGATCAACAAATATATTCATGCATCGGCTCGAAATCAAAATAACTATCATTAATGTACATTTTCTTTTATTCGTTCATTTTCACCTTTTTATTGACGCCCTTGTGCTACAGCATAGTTCTGACATGTAAGTGGATTCATCGTTTTTTGGAATGCATTAGCTTCGCAGAGGCATGCACGGAGGTAAACAAATATTCCTCTCATTTATCCTTTACATGCACTAAGCCATAATTATTTTCATATGCTCCTGATTACGTAACATGAAACAAAATTAATTTCTTCTTATTTTGTGTCAGTTTCTCAGAAAGTTTTTTGCATGTAATGCTCAATATCTGTGTACACACTTTGATCGCACAGTTGTACAAAAGTGCACACATGAACATTGGAAGTTTTGCTCTTGTACACTTAAGATCTCGTTGAAAACTACTCTTCAGTTCGGATTTTTGTTGTGCTTTACATTGTTAAGTTATTAGACCTAGACACAATGTAGAAACAATTTTTAAAAAGAAGTATTTATTTCATTTAAATATTTCAAAAATAAGCTGAACTCGCTGCTCTCCGTTTCCCCTAATAAAAATGAGGATTTCTTCATCGAAATTGTTTGTGTGTAAAATGCTAATTTTAAACAAAGGGAAAGGTTATAGCTTAGGTTTCCTAGATTTAGTTTCTAGGCTACAGAGAAGGGTTGATTGTTTGACTTTTAGTTGTATGTACGAAGAAGTGTCTCGAAATTGTTCTTATTCTTAACATTGAACGTTTATTGACTGAGTTTATAGCTTTTCCATTTGTACTTCTATTTTATAGATTAATTTTTGTTTGTAATTATCAAGGCACCAACAGATTTGCATAGGGCACATCACACTCATTAAGAAAAGCAATTTTTAACTATTTGAAGTGTACATCCTGTATAGAGATTTGTCCTGTGATTTTATTATTAATAGCACATTTTGAGAAATGTATTTTCTGTTATTACAGGTGTTAGTTTTTCCAAGACTGGGTGCATGCATCTCCAACATAATTTCATCAGCAAAGAAATACTTATCAGTTTTTCAAAGAGAAAGCACCCGAGGAAAGCGTTGCATGATTTTGATTGTTTGAACGTGATTTGAATTTATTTCACTTTTGAATGTAAAACGTTTTTAGTATTGACCAAAGTAACGATCGGCCAAATTTTTGTTTCAATTGCGTATAACTTCAGAAGCGGTAAATTTTCAGTATTGCATCACTGAAGAACTCGTAATAGCATGTAATATTTCTTCATATTTTACACCTTCGATTCATTGGATGGTAGAGAACATGTCCTGTTATCCTTTAGTTCTAAGCTTCAAAAAATTTTGCTTTCATTTTTCAGCAGCTGAAGATTCGTGCCCCAGCTCCTCGAAACGTGTGTTTCCTTATTTGTGAGCACAGGCTACTTAAGATATCTAAAAGAACCACGATATCTGCTCCGTAATCGCTTAAGTAATACTTTCAAAGTAGCAATTTAGGTTTGGACATTGCATCTTAATAAAACATAGCATGTTTTTACAGTGTGTTAGTAATATTCCTGCCTTATGTGTAATATAGGTCTATTTACCTCGGCCTTTATAAGAATTTTCAACATTTTTTAGGGAAGAACCTGACTTACAGGAAGGTGGGCATATTGAAAAAAGGTTAACCACTTAAGCTTTATTAAAAAGACCATCTTTTCCAGCATTGAAAATTGCTGTATCTAGAATCAGATATTCACGAACTCTGGACAAGAGAGGCAGTAAATTTTTTAAAACTATCGCTTTTTAGAAACCTATAGTTAGTTTTTTCAAATATTAGTCCTTTCGCTGAATTCCCTCACGCAAATTCAGAACCCCAATCGCCCTATCGACGTCAGGCCAGTGGTGCCGTGAAGGAGACTGGGAGGCTCAGCCTTACAAGCCAGGATATGGGCACTTTGGGCCAGCCCTTGATCTACAATAGGAGGCTCGTTGTTTATTCTTTTCTCAGTTGAAGGAGGAGGGGGGTACTCCCTAGATACTTAGGATGGTATGATCTTATTCATTGGAAAGATGTTGGCTGCCCATTCTCTGCCTTTCAACTGTAATTAAATTTTTGTAGAACACGATTAAGTGTCAATGAATTTTTTTGCATTGACGAGAGAGTATGTAAAGGAATTAAAAAGACGATCTTTGTAAGAATTATATATTCACCAATTCGGAATTAAATTGTTATTATGAAGTATCTACGTTATATGTGTGATCAGTGTGATGAGTTTGATAAAAGCAAGTAGCTTAGTATGTCTTTGACTCTTAGAATTATAGCTTACTTTATCTCCTCTAGTCAGAGTAGTCACAATCCTTTTGATGACCTGAGAAAACAACGGACCGTCTGGGGCAGAGCAAGCCCTAGAGCCATCTTTAATCTGCGAATTATGCTTACTTTTGGCTATCCTATCCCACCTCAAACCTAGCCATTCCGCTCCCATCTTTGTTAAAAGTTCTTGTACACAAAGCATAACAGCTGGTTCGACATCTTTGCGATCAAGAGGTGCCTTGTAACCACTTCCCTTGCTGCTCAAGTCTCCACGAGGTTGGTCTGATACCCCTGACAATTTTTCATGTTTTTGCTTTTGCCCTCTTGCCTCAAAGAGTTATTCCCTGTCCTCCGAACCTGCATTATGAAGCCATGGCAATTGCTTCAACATTATAGACTTAGCCATGAATGACCCCTCGAGCTCTGGGCAACCGAAGAATAAATAATTTTCCTTGCAGCTTTGCTTAACGCTATCCTCATAGTCCGGTAGTGCCTGCTTAGTCTGCCAAAGGGTGAATCTCCTCAGTGTGGTCCTTTGAAATCACCTATTGAAATTCTTTTGATTAAAGTGCGAAGCCTTTCAATTATCAATTTTCGAATAAACGTATTTTTGCTGGCTCATCGTTTTAACCGATTAAATCGTGGTTTAGCCAATTAATTACCTGAAATGTGAACTTTATGCTGTATTTTTGATGCATTTTTCCTTCTTTTCTCAGCGATGATTATCGCTATTTTGTTGGGCCCAGCCCCGGCATTCCTCTGTTTAAACAAAGAGAGCCTTTTGTCTCGAATTGAAAAGGCAGTGTTTCAGCTAAAAGTTACAATTTTGGCTAAACTTTAAGGTTTATGGAAATGTCAATCACACCACAGGATGCAGAAAATTATGCTCTTTCTTTTGGTGTTTTCAACGAAAAAATTGCGCCATTTTTGGCGAAGTTATTCGACTTTTTCTCAATTTTTACCGAGGGGGATTCAGGTTTGCACAAAGCAGTTCAGAAAAAACAATAGGCTTGTGATTCCCAGAGTTTCTAAAGATCTCGGTTTTTGGCGATTTACTCCCAAACTATAATAGTTATGAATTCGTGGATACATTCATTCGACGCGCCGTACAATTCTCGATTTTTTGGGCCATTCCTCGTATTTTTAGGACGAGATTTAGCAAAGTTATTAAGGATTTTGTCTCGAAAATCGCCAAAAAACGGTTTTTTGCACTTTAAAAATCGAAAATAGCCGATAAAAATCTGCTGATACCTTGTAAAAATCGAGCCAAAAATTGCCAAAATTCTCATATATAGCTTGCTCTGTTTGAAATTGGCATTATCGAATAATCTCGGTTTTTCCGAAAAGTGCACTTTTCAAATTTTCTCAAATTTGCATCGCAGCGACCGGGACTGGTCAAAGCTGTCGCTGCGGTGGCCATCAGTAGTTTCTTGTTAAAAACGGTATTTTCTTGGAGTTTAGAAGCGGGGCAAACTTCTAACATGCTAGATAAGCTTTCTAGAATATATTTAAACACACTTCGAGTGATTTTTCTTGATTATAAAAACTTTGGTAAAATTTCATGTGTGTCTCTAGCCGCCCGTCGTCCGATCGGCTTTAAAGATTAGGAACCATGTAAAATCGACCGATTTCTGACTTTCTTTGCAATAAATCGATAAGATTGATCGAAATAAAGAAATTGTTCTCAGTGTTAATACAATAATATTCTCAGTTGCAATATCCCATGCAATTCAGTCCTAATGAGTGACTTAGAAATTGCAATAGACATTGAGAAACTTCCATAACAAATATCTGAAATTTACAATAGAAATACAGAATCTTATTAATAATTACGATAGTTTTAAACTACTCACGTATTTTGGTAAGGATCTGCACGCAATTTACCCCAGAAACAAATTAATAGGTTGCAAAATCCTCTTGAGCCATGGTCACTTTGGGGTTTCCCCTGAGCTTCAATTAATACATTTACAAGGACTGATGACTTCATAAAATGCTGGTTTGAATGCAGTCTGGGCAGTATAATAGGTATTCCTTGATATACACAAATTGTTTCTGCATCGTTTTGTCAATTTATTGCAAAGAAAGTCAGAAATCGGTCGATTTTACATGGTTCCTAATCTTTAAAGCCGATCGGACGACGGGCGGCTAGCGACACACATGAAATTTTACCAAAGTTTTTATAATCAAGAAAAATCACTCGAAGTGTGTTTAAATATATTCTAGAAAGCTTATCTAGCATGTTAGAAGTTTGCCCCGCTTTTAAACTCCAAGAAAATACCGTTTTTAACAAGAAACTACTGATGGCCACCGCAGCGACAGCTTTGACCAGTCCCGGTCGCTGCGATGCAAATTTGAGAAAATTTGAAAAGTGCACTTTTCGGAAAAACCGAGTTTATTCGATAATGCCAATTTCAAACAGAGCAAGCTATATATGAGAATTTTGGCAATTTTTGGCTCGATTTTTACAAGGTATCAGCAGATTTTTATCGGCTATTTTCGATTTTTAAAGTGCAAAAAACCGTTTTTTGGCGATTTTGGAGACAAAATCCTTGATAACTTTGCTAAATCTCGTCCTAAAAATACGAGGAACGGCCCAAAAAATCGAGAATTGTACGGCGCGTCGAATGAATGTATCCACGAATTCATAACTATTATAGTTTGGGAGTAAATCGCCAAAAACCGAGATCTTTAGAAACTCTGGGAATCACAAGCCTATTGTTTTTTCTGAACTGCTTTGTGCAAACCTGAATCCCCCTCGGTAAAAATTGAGAAAAAGTCGAATAACTTCGCCAAAAATGGCGCAATTTTTTCGTTGAAAACACCAAAAGAAAGAGCATAATTTTCTGCATCCTGTGGTGTGATTGACATTTCCATAAACCTTAAAGTTTAGCCAAAATTGTAACTTTTAGCTGAAACACTGCCTTTTCAATTCGAGACAAAAGGCTCTCTTTGTTTAAACAGAGGAATGCCGGGGCTGGGCCCAACAAAATAGCGATAATCATCGCTGAGAAAAGAAGGAAAAATGCATCAAAAATACAGCATAAAGTTCACATTTCAGGTAATTAATTGGCTAAACCACGATTTAATCGGTTAAAACGATGAGCCAGCAAAAATACGTTTATTCGAAAATTGATAATTGAAAGGCTTCGCACTTTAATCAAAAGAATTTCAATAGGTGATTTCAAAGGACCACACTGAGGAGATTCACCCTTTGGCAGACTAAGCAGGCACTACCGGACTATGAGGATAGCGTTAAGCAAAGTTGCAAGGAAAATTATTTATTCTTCGGTTGCCCGGAGCTCGAGGGGTCATTCATGGCTAAGTCTATAATGTGGAAGCAATTGCCATGGCTTCATAATGCAGGTTCGGAAGACAGAGAATAACTCTTTGAGGCAAGAGGGCAAAAGCAAAAACATGAAAAATTGTCAGGGGTATCAGACCAACCTCGTGGAGACTTGAGCAGCAAGGGAAGTGGTTACAAGGCACCTCTTGATCGCGAAGATGTTGAACCAGCTGTTATGCTTTGTGTACAAGAACTTTAACAAAGATGGGAGCGGAATGGCTAGGTTTGAGGTGGGATAGGATAGCCAAAAGTAAGCATAATTCGCAGATTAAAGATGGCTCTAGGGCTTGCTCTGCCCCAGACGGTCCGTTGTTTTCTCAGGTCATCAAAAGGATTGTGACTACTCTGACTAGAGGAGATAAAGTAAGCTATAATTCTAAGAGTCAAAGACATTCTAAGCTACTTGCTTTTATCAAACTCATCACACTGATCACACATATAACGTAGATACTTCATAATAACAATTTAATTCCGAATTGGTGAATATATAATTCTCACAACGATCGTCTTTTTAATTCCTTTACATACTCTCTCGTCAATGCAAAAAAATTCATTGACACTTAATCGTGTTCTACAAAAATTTAATTACAGTTGAAAGGCAGAGAATGGGCAGCCAACATCTTTCCAATGAATAAGATCATACCATCCTAAGTATCTAGGGAGTACCCCCCCTCCCCCCTTCAACAGAGAAAAGAATAAACAACGAGCCTCCTATTGTAGATCAAGGGCTGGCCCAAAGTGCCCATATCCTGGCTTGTTAAGGCTGAGCCTCCCAGTCTCCTTCACGGCACCACTGGCCTGACGTCGATAAGGCGATTGGGGTTCTGAATTTGCGTGAGGGAATTCAGGGAAAGGACTAATATTTGAAAAAACTAACTATAGGTTTCTAAAAAGCGATAGTTTTAAAAAATTTACTGCCTCTCTTGTACAGAGTTTGTGAATATCTGATTCTAGATATAGCAAATTTCAATGCTGGAAAAGATGGTCTTTTTAATCACACTAAAGTGGTTAACCTTTTTTCAATGTGCCCACCTTCTTTTAAGTCAGATTCTTCCCTAAAAAATGTTGGAAATCCTAATAAAGGCCAAGGAAAATAGACCTATATTACACATAAGGCAGGAATATTTCTAACACACTGTAAAAACATGCTATGTTTTATTAAGATGCAATGTCCAAACCTAAATTGCTACTTTGAAAGCATTACTTAAGCGATTACGGAGCAGATATCGTGGTTCTTTCAGATATCTTCAGTAGCCTGTGCTCACAAATAAGGAAACACGCGTTTCGAGGAGCTGGGGCACGAATCTTCAGCTGCTGAAAAATGAAAGCAAAATTTTTTTAAGCTTAGAACTAAAAGGATAGCAGGACATGTTCTCTACCATCCAATGAATCGAAGGTGTAAAATATGAAGAAATATTACATGTTCTCACGAATTCCTCAGTAATGCAATACTGAACAGCTTGAATAAAGGTGCAATCTTCAAGTCAAATTTTCAAAATAGTGTCACTTTCACAATTGCATTAATCGACTTTAGCCAAAGGGTTCTTTTTTTCTCTCTCAGGAACATCGCTTTACATTAGTACAAAATATTTACGAAGAAACTGTTTACGGAAATATCTATATTGCAAAAACGTTTAGACCTTTTGCAAAGGTTGTCGTTCCGTCTTGCAGTTTTAGAACCCATTTACATATAAAACCGCTTTTATATAGACAGAAAGAGTTCGTCTTCACCCTTGCACCTTATTGGTAGCATTTTCTTTAAGAGAGTGACACCAATTGGGAAGTTCTACAGTCATGTGCTCGCATTTATGATTGCCCTATTTTGATTTACAACTGGGCATAAATATTACCTAGCTTAGAAATTTTCAAATTATAGTCTGACGTAAAGAGTGTCAAACGAAAAACTATTCATAGAAATTCATCAAAATTAAACAACATCAAAATGTAATATCATCTATCTCTGTATGCATGTAAAGTAAAATACAAAATTATCCACGCTTATAGCTTACTACCCTAAAAATATTGACAATTTCACTTGAATTTTCTCTGTGTTGCATCTGACGAAGGTATTTTTCCTTTGAATCTTCACAGCAAAAGTATACTCTTTCTCCTGCAATGTAAAAAGACAGAAATTGTATATTATGGACACAAATTATGTTTAAATTGAAGTAAACTGCAACTGTGATATGCCTTAAATAAACAGCACGTACAGGGTGCAAAGTCAGCTGAAATTAAGGACAGCTCTTAATCTAACAATCTTAAATAAAATTAGCTACGTTGATGTCTCAAACTACATCATGCTGATTTTACAAATGAATGGCTGATTTTCAATCAAAACAAAGTAACTTTTGAGTGTCAAATAAGTGAGAAATTTTAGATAGAAAGATAGAAGTTTAATAAAAAAAATTGACAACAGTTTGGTTTCTCTTAAGATTTTTGAGTGGAGGCATAATCAGTTAAATCACAGAAACTAAGAAAACAATTTCCAACAGGAAATACTCGAACGTATATGCAAGAAAAAGTTACAACTACAAAACTCAAGATTCACGATTAACAAAAAAGACCTCTATGAAAAAAAACGCTTAGAACAAAATATGGAACAAAACATAGAACAAAACTTGGAAAAAACCTTAAAACAACAAATGGACAAAACTTTCGAATAGCACTTCAAATTAAACAATGGGATTCCTTGTCATAAAGGAGTCACAAAAAATTAAGGAATCATCGTTTGAAAAATGGGAAACTGTAAAGAAGATTGCAACAGCAGACGTCACTTTCAATGACATTGAATTAATTGATAACGATAAGATTTGGTGGGATTGCTTGGCAAAAAGAAGTAGCAAAAAGTTAAGGACCTATCGTTTGAAAAATGGGAAACAGTAAAGAAGATTGCAACAGCAGACGTCACTTTCAATGACATTGAATTAATTGATAACGATAAGATTTGATGGGATTGCTTGACAAAAAGGAGTCACAAAAGATTAAGGATCTATCGTTTGAAAAAATGGGAAACTGTAAAGAAGATTGCAACAGCAGACGTCCTTTTAAATGACATTGATTCATTTGATAACAATAAGATTTGTTGGGATTGCTTGGCAAAAAGGAATCACAAAAAATTAAGGATCTATCGTTTGAAAAATGGGAAACTGTAAAGAAGATTGCAACAGCAGACGTCCTTTTAAATGACATTGATTCATTTGATAACAATAAGATTTGGTGGGATTGCTTGGCAAAAAGGAATCACAAAAAACTAAGGAATCGTCGTTTGAAAAATGGGAAACTGTAAAGAAGATTGCAACAGCAGACGTCCTTTTAAATGACATTGATTTATCTGATAACGATAAGATTTGGTGGGATTGCTTGGCATAAAGGAGTCGCAAAAAATTGAGGATCTATCGTTAGAAAAATGGGAAACTGTAAAGAAGATTGCAACAGCAGACGTCATTTTAAATGAAACTAATATATTTGATAACGATAAGATTTGGTGGGATTGCTTGGCAAAAAGGAATCACAAAAAATTAGGGATCTATCGTTTGAAAGATAGGAAACTGTAAAGAAGATTGCAACAGCAGACGTCACTTTCAATGTCATTGATTTATGTGATAACGATAAGATTTGGTAGGATTGCTTGGCAAAAAGAAGTAGCAAAAAATTAAGTATCTATCGTTTGAAAAAAAAGGGAACTGTAAAGAAGATTGCAACAGCAGACGTCATTTTAAATGACATTGATTTATTTGATAACGAAAAGATTTGGTGGGATTGCTTAGCAAAAAAAGTAGCAAAAAATTAAGGATCTATCGTTTGAAAAATGGGAAACTGTAAAAAAGATTGCAACAGCAGACGTCATTTTAAATGACATTGATTTATTTGATAACGATAAGATTTGGTGGGATTGCTTGGCAAAAAGAAATCACAAAAAATTAAGGAATCGTCGTTTGAAAAATGGGAAACTGTAAAGAAGATTGCAACAGCAGACGTCATTTTAAATGACATTGATTTATGTGATGAAGATAGGATTTGGTAGGATTGCTTGGCAAAAAGAAATAGCACAAAATTAAGGACCTATCTTTTGTAAAAAGGGGAACTGTAAAGAAGATTGCAAAAGCAGACGTCACTTTCAATGACATTGATTTATGTGATAACGATAACATTTGGTAGAATACCTTGACAAAAAGGAGTCACACAAAATTAAGGATCTATCTTTTGAAAAAAGGGGAACTGTAAAGAAGATTGCAACAGCAGACGTCATTTTGAATGACATTGATTTATGTTGATAACGATAAGATTTGGTAGGATTGCTTGGCAAAAAGAAATAGCAAAAAATTAAGGATCTATCGTTTGAAAAAATGGGAAACTGTAAAGAAGATTGCAACAGCAGACGTCACTTTCAATGACATTGATTTATTTGATAACGATAAGATTTGGTGGGATTGCTTGGCAAAAAGGAGTCACACAAAATTAAGGATCTATCGTTTGAAAAAAGGGGAACTGTAAAGAAGATTGCAACAGCAGACGTCATTTTAAATGACATTGATTTATGTGATAAGATAAGATTTGGTAGGATTGCTTGGCAAAAAGAAATAGCAAAAAATTAAGGATTTATCTTTTAAAAAAAGGGGAACTGTAAAGAAGATTGCAAAAGCAGACGTCACTTTCAATGACATTGATTTATGTGATAACGATAAGATTTGGTAGGATTGCTTGACAAAAAGGAGTCACACAAAATTAAGGATCTATCTTTTGAAAAAAAGGGGAACTGTAAAGAAGATTGCAACAGCAGACGTCATTTTAAATGAAACTAATTTATTTGATAACGATAAGATTTGGTGGGATGCTTGGCAAAAAGATTAGCAAAAAATTAAGGATCTATCGTTTGAAAAAAAGGGGAACTGTAAAGAAGATTGCAACAGCAGACGTCACTTTCAATGACATTAATATTATGATAAGATTAGACGATAAGATTTGGATAGGATTGCTTGGCAAAAAGAAGTAGCAAAAAATTAAAGATCTATCGTTTGAAAAAAAAGGGGAACTGTAAAGAAGATTGCAACAGCAGACGTCATTTTAAATGACATTGATTTATGTTGATAACGAAAAGATTTGGTAGGATTGCTTGGCAAAAAGGAGTCACAAAAAATTAAGGATCTATCGTTTGAAAAAAAGGGAAACTGTAAAGAAGATTGCAACAGCAGACGTCATTTTAAATGACATTGATTTATTTGATAACGAATAAGATTTGGTGGGATTGCTTGGCAAAAAGAAGTAGCAAAAAATTAAGGATCTATCGTTTGAAAAATGGGAAACTGTAAAGAAGATTGCAACAGCAGACGTCATTTTAAATGACATTGATTTATTTGATAACGATAAGATTTGGTGGGATTGCTTGGCAAAAAGAAAGTAGCAAAAAATTAAGGATCTATCGTTTGAAAAAAAGGGGAACTGTAAAGAAGATTGCAACAGCATGACGTCTTTTAAATGACATTGATTTATTTGATAACGATAAGATTTGGTTTGGTAGGATTGATCGTTTGAAACAAAGATTGGACGTCAATGACAACGAAAATTTTGGGATTTCTTGGCAAAAAGAGTCAAAAAATTAAGGATCGATTTTGAAAAAAAGGGGAACTGTAAAGAAGATTGCAACAGCAGACGTCATTTTAAATGACATTGATTTATTTGATAACGATAAGATTTGGTGGGATTGCTTGGCAAAAAGGAATCACAAAAAATTAAGTATCCATAGTTTGAAAAAAAGGGGAACTGTAAAGAAGATTGCAACAGCAGACGTCCGTTTAAATGACATTGATTTATTTGATAACGATAAGATTTGGTGGGATTGCTTGGCAAAAAGGAATCACAAAAAATTATGTATCCATAGTTTGAAAAAAAGGGGAACTGTAAAGAAGATTGCAACAGCAGACGTCCGTTTAAATGACATTGATTTATTTAATAACAATAAGATTTGGTGGGATTGCTTGGCAAAAAGAAGTAGCAAAAAATTAAGTGTCCATAGTTTGAAAAAAAGGGGAACTGTAAAGAAGTTTGCAACAGCAGACGTCATTTTCAATGACATTGATTTATTTGATAACGATAAGATTTGGGAGGGATTGCTTGGCAAAAAGGAGTCACAAAAAATTAAGTATCCATAGTTTGAAAAAAAGGGGAACTGTAAAGAAGATTGCAACAGCAGACGTCCGTTTAAATGACATTGATTTATTTGATAACGATAAGATTTGGTGGGATTGCTTGCCAAAAAGGAATCACAAAAAATTAAGTATCCATAGTTTGAAAAAAAGGGGAACTGTAAAGAAGATTGTAACAGCAGACGTCCGTTTAAATGACATTGATTTATTTGATAACGATAAGATTTGGTGGGATTGCTTGGCAAAAATAAATCACAAAAAATTAAGTATCCACAGTTTGAAAAAAGGGGGAACTGTAAAGAAGATTGTAACAGCAGACGTCCGTTTAAATGACATTGATTTATTTGATAACGATAAGATTTGGTGGGGTTGCTTGGCAAAAAGAAATAGCAAAAAATTAAGGATCTATCGTTTGAAAAATGGGAAACTGTAAAGAAGATTGCAAAAGCAGACGTCACTTTCAATGACATTGATTTTTTTGATAACGATCAGATTTGGTGGGATTGCTTGACAAAAAGAAGTAGCGAAAAATTAAGAATCTATCGTTTGAAAAAAAGGGGAACTGTAAAGAAGATTGCAACAGCAGACGTCATTTAAAATGACATTGATTTATTTGATAACGATAAGATTTGGTGGGATTGCTTGGCAAAAAGAAGTAGCAAAAAATTGAGGATCTATCGTTTGAAAAAAATGGAACTGTAAAGAAGATTGCAAGAGCAGACGACATTTTAAATGACATTGATTTATTTGATAACGATAAGATTTGGTGGGATTGCTTGGCAAAAAGAAGTAGCAAAAAATTAAGGATCTATCGTTTGAAAAAAAGGGGAACTGTAAAGAAGATTGCAACAGCAGACGTCATTTTAAATGACATTGATTTATGTGATAACGATAAGATTTGGTGGGATTGCTTGGCAAAAAGAAATAGCAAAAAATTAAGGATCTATCGTTTGAAAAAAAGGGGAAC